GATTTTCATTCCGCTTTTCTCGAGGAGAGAAATGAGGGAATGATTTTGAATGTATTTAAAATAAGTCGTACGACACCCCAAAGAAAATTATTCATTCCAAATAATTTTTTCTTCAATTCGCGAGTTCTCCTCCGGATCATTTACATTGCTAATGTATCATTGTTAGACGGATTCGTCCTCCCACTTAAACTACCGGAGTTTCAAGTAGTTCGATGGAATGAAGAATGGAGATGATTTTACATTCGAGAGCAAAGGGGTTGGCTCTCGTTAGAGTATTCAATAATAAAGCATGAGACGCTAGTTAGGCGGCAGATCGATATGAATATTCATATGATTTCAATGATGTAACGATGGGACATTACTCATACCGTTGACTAATTAAATGGCTCGATGACGAGTGAATGACGATTGAATGTTTGAACTAGTTGTGGGGCCACAGAAAGCTCTCCAGCGGGAATGCAGAAATTCTTCGTTGAAGCATGTGGCTTTGACCCGCAAATTTTCTCCTGGAAAATCGGCAGTCGAGTTTGGTGGCGAGTTTAACTTTTACTGGCTTGCCCGTGGAATTTTAATGTTTGATAGGAATCGAGAGGGAAGTCTAATTGCCAATTTTCAATTATTGGGGGCTGCATTCGTCTCACATTGCGACATTACTTCACTGCAACATAATTCAATCCTCATTGTTCAATGAAAAGTAATTTTTTATTAACAAATCGCTTGATGAAAAAATTCGATTGCGAAGAAATAAATGATTAGCGCACGCTAGGGTAAAAATACCAAAGGATACACCGGGAACGTCAGCTAAGAAACTAGATAATTGTTCATCAGCAGCAGGTGTCATCATATCACCAAATAAAACATCCTGGCGACACCTGCTCTGACCTCTCCGATAAGACCCTCACAATCCCGCTATTATCCCGCACATCACAACTCAAGTCGACACGTATAATTTTTGCGGAAACCGACATCTCCCCAGAATTTTTCCTCCAGAAGATTACGCTTATCGTGTTGTGTTCAACAATATAAACAATGCGCGGTGAGTAAAATGCCAGAGGTTTTTCATCGACACAACAGCGACTAAATACGCCAAAACACGCCGACCAAATGCCAGCACATATTTACCTGTTTACTCCCCCTTTCTATCAGCCGGTGAGAGATAATCCAGTGGATTGCGTTATTTGTCAAACGAGCTGGCAGTAATGTAAGGAAAATTGCGCGCGGCAAAATCTTTTAATTTGTGGTTTCAGTCTCAGCGATATAACGAAAAATGAGCGAGAGGGAGCACAAGATATAGGAGCATTGTAAAGTTTTGAATAATGGGGTTGGCTTGGGCGATAGAATGACGTGTTTATAAGCGTGCGCGTGCTCGATGCGCACAGCAAGAGCGGCGCTTTGAGGCCTCATAAAACAGCGGCAACCCACTGTAAATCCGTGCTGGAGAACATGCCACAGCTCTCTGACAGATTTGTTCATCCTGTTGGTTTTTTCGAATTTTTTTTTCCCATGTAACCACCCTTCGGTTTTAACTACCACCTTGGGTCGTAATTGCGAAAAATTTCATTTTACTTTGATGTAATGCTGCTTGGACTCTTCGATTTCAGTTCATCACAGAAAATTATCTCAGGTTGAATATGTCCGATGAAAAGATGAATTTTTAAGGTTTTGGGTTAAAGAATTTTGAATTTCCCGCCGGTGCGCTTGCTAACTTGCTGTTTCGAGTTGATCCTTTGTGCGATATTCTGGGGCCATTCAAGAGGCAAATGCTACTCATGAGGAGACTCTTGAGCCTCAACACCCACTCCTCAAGTACTACTAGCTCCTTGTGTACTTGTACTCGTACGTTATGTACGTCTGGGTGAATCTCCCACGCGTTACGCCAGGCAATTGATATCTCCATCATTCGATTCACAATTACGAGAATATCTTATTTGAATTGAGGAAAAATTTAATTTTATCTCACCTCTGAGTTGGAACTCGAAATTGAATGAAAAAAAAAAAGGGATTTCTTCGGGTGAATGGATATGACCCAACGAAGCGGCAGCTCCTGGCAATAGCCAGTTGAGCCCTTAGCTGCAGCACGATGCATCGAAGCTGAGCATCGATGTCATCAACAATTGCCTGTATGCGAGCAGTGGCATAAGGAATGGGTCTATAGACAGGACACTACCAGGTCGGTTATCGACGGTAGACACGACCGCCACAAATCTCCACTATCTACGGATCTCCAGGTTCTGGGTGACTCTCTAATGCCCCGAACTTCTCCCTGAGCACCTCGACGGAATGAAACGCCGGGGTGAGGCGACAGTCTGGTGAGTGTGGAAGAGCATCATGGACAACGGTGAACCCATTGTATATACCCCAGAAGAGGTAAAAAAAGAGAGGATCGCCCGCGGGTCCTGGACATTGAGGTCCACGAGAAAGAGAGAATTCCAGATAAAGAGCCAAACGCCAAGTATAGATAGCAACTGGGGACCCTATAGCTCTTACCTCCGCCAACATAAAGAACAGAAAACGCTTGGACGTGTCCAAGACGAACTGCCCTTACGCGAGAACGCGGATTGCACCAGGACATAGAGCAGAGAGTTAAAAAATAAAAGAAAGCAGTGAGGAAGAACAGATGGATGGGAAAAGAGAGGAGCAAAGAAATGGCCCAGTGGGAGGAACCTATTGGCCATGGAGAAGTAGATACTCAGAGTCCCCAGGATTTTCAACCTGGAAGATTTGTGTTTGCTGGAGGGGCACATCGGGAGACTAATCCTCCACCAGGAATTACTGATTTTGATGGAACAGCCAGGAACACTCTGTTGCCTCACTGTTCTATCGATATTCTCTCTCCAAACAGACTAACGAGAGCATCGACGAGTTTAAATATCGGAATTAGGTGAGGAGTGGGAAGGGAGGGCAGAAGAATAAGAGGACATCGGTGAGTTATACGAGAGCCTCCCCTCTGTCTTGAAGCCGAGGGTTAGTTTAAGAGGCCGTCGGAATCGGTAGCTGTTTTATTTTCTTCTCTCCGCTCCATAAGATCGCATTCTTTACGACCCATTAGACGAATTCATTACCGGTCCTCGAGACGTGAAGGGGGGCAAGTCGTTCTTCTTTTTTAGATCTCACGCCCTTTTACTATACTCTTTCGCCCGGGTTTTCCCTCTTTTTTTTCGGGCTTTTTATTTTATTCCGCAGGGAGATTTCTAGTTGGAAAATTATTGAAAATTCAGGGAAATTATTGGTTGAATTTCACACGTTTTTCCATGAAATATCGCAACAACACCCGTCCATCTACACCTCGCCACAACACTAAATATGAATAAATGTTAGTATTCCCCATCATTACCTCAAACCTTTTGTTAAATCGCGGGGAATTTTCCTTTAATGGATGCAACACACTATCCCCTCGAGAGTCCCTGTCCTTCCGTTTCTCCCGATAATTTGAATATCGTGCTCTCGGGTAAAGCTTCAGGCTTCTCCATAAGTGCGGAAGGAATTTACGAGCGCCGGAGGCTAGGCAGAAGCCCAACCGAGCACGACTTGGAGGCTTGATGGTAACTATGAAAGTGGAAAGAGGGAGGTAAATACGAAGGACATGGAAAATAATGTGTGTGAGAGAGAGTTGGTGTATACGTTAGAGGGTCTGTATCAATTCATTAGCGCATTACGGTTAAAATAAAAGTATCTGCGTATCTGCGGCATGTGGCGCGTATCTCTTATGAGGAGAACGAGATGCGACCGGTTTGTGGGCCTCGGCCCTCAACAACCTCCCCCTTGTGTTACCTTACCTTTGCACACCTCCACACCTCTACCTTGTGCAGCCAGTCAGCCGTGGAGGTCGGCTTGACCTTCACCGTGATTTGCCACTATCGGAGAACCTGCTGGACACAAGCCTCCAGAAGTGAATTCAATACTGGAGAGGTTATCCTGGGTGCGGTAAGCATTCCCCTTTATTTCATTTTATCCTATTTATTTTCAAAACTAATTCATGATTCCTCAATCGGCAAAAATCTGTTACACGATCTATCCAATGGTTTTCTGGAATTCTCTGCAATCTTCTCGTAGATTTTAGGAGAGATTGGAGATGTTGGCTCTTGCTGGATTATAGATGCAGTCAAGTGGAAATATCATATACGATGGATGAATATTTACATGAGGCTGGGTTAATGTGGGTAAATGCGGGAAGCCCCGGCCGGTGGGAGAAATGCAACCGGCAGAGGGCACTCATTTCACTGATTACATTGAAATCGATCAAGTCACGTCGTCTTAAAAAATTCAATAATTTCATTGATTCTATGTATTTTTTTAAACAATTGCGGAATTATGAAATTCATCGGATTGAATAGGAATTTATATTTTATTAATTACTGCCCAGCGACTTCTCCATTTCGAAGAAGAACAACCAATTATTATGTTTCTTGAATTTGCGATCCACGAAATCTTTTTATTGATGATGTGGAATGTCAATAAACATGTCCGGCAACAATCGTGAAAGAAATGTACTGGTGGGTGTGACACTGATAATCCCGGTACGTATAGATGGAATATATATTTTCCAAAAGCCATGTGGAAACGTGGGCTGGATTTCGGGTGTTGTAAATTTGCCAAGTCTTATTTTATTTTTTCTCTCATTCTGGTTATAACAGAGTCAATGGTGTTACGAGAATATGCTGTCAGGTCATCTTTTTTATTTCTCACGTTGTGCCATTTCTTTTATATGCTCACGATAGGAAGATGAAAAGGTCAATGCAGCAGCCCGTGGGCGGATAATTCAGAGTTTGGGTTTCACCAATGAATTAGACAAATGACGTTTGAATATAGTTTATAACATATATATTTATTTGAGCTTTAATTGCATTTTAAAATACAACCGAAATAATTAAATAATGACAAATCTCGTAAAATGGTTTCAAGAGTTTTTTTTTTTTTTTCGCGTATACATGATGCATATCTTCGTGGGTTTTTGCTTTCTCGTTTACGAGGTTATAATTTTTATCTTGTTTTCTTGTGTATTTTTTTTTTTTTTTTGGGAGCGCACGATATTCTATCACTTGTGTGTTTCTTCAGTTTTTCTCTCCGTTTTCATCAATTTTTTTTCTCATATTTACTTTATCATGGTGGATGAATCGTCAAATCTCGCGTATTTTCATTTTATAATCGCTCAGTACCACGTGGGATTAATCTTCGATCATCACACACAATATTATTATTATTATTTTTTATTATGTTGATAAATACTTTAAAAGTCCGCGATGGAAGAATTAGAGTTACAAGGAATACGTATACAAGTGTTTTTTTTTTCTTATTATTTCCTTTATTTTTATTTATTTCATCTAGGTTTTTGTTTAATCGTATCATCGGAGTTGTACAATATTTCCGTCACTCCGCTGATGCGATCTCACTCTCTCCCCATTCACTCCATCAATTTTAATTAAATTTAATATTTTGTTTTGTTTTTTACTACAAATAGCATTGCTCTCTACATAAATCATTCAACCTAATTATGTGAAATCACTCACTCACGCCCGCTCTTTTACTCACGCAAATATCACTTTTCGTCATCTTTTCATTGATTTATATGTATAATAATTTCAATTCAATATACACAGTATTTTTTTTTTCGCCATAATTCGAATGATAATTAATGACAATATTTTACACGTAATGACACGCATTGGCTCGACCTGGCGCAATAAATATATTTCAAGAAACAAATAAAATTTACAAATCAACTATTACGACATTATTTAAAGTATCTCACGCAATTTTTCTTTTCATTCGCCTTAAAAACCGAATAAAGTGAGGGGGGGGGAAAAAAAAAAGTGAGACCCTGAATAAATAAACGGTACTCAATATCTAAGATTATGAAACTCGATTCATTGCACCGCGTGGCGCACTCATCTTTTCTCGTCATTCTCATGTCTCTCCCCTTTTTAATATTTTCTTTTGTGCTATTTTATTTTTCCGTTTGCGCATGTAATTCCGGTTGAGATCATGTCAGAGCAGTGAAAAAATGCAGCGCTTCTCTCGTACTCCAATATTGCAAAAACAACATTGACAAATAAATTTTGGGCTCGCCCCCGCCGTGACATGATCCCCCACGTCAACAAAGAGATTCTATACAAAGGGTGAGCGCTAATTTTTTTAGCCTATGCCTAATCTAATTAACTTACGCTAAGAAGGTGGTATACATACGTTCGACCGTTATGACAGATGAGTTAGACAAGCATTTTCCTTTCCTAGTCGAAATAATCGTCTCTTTTCATAATATCTATTTTAATTTTAAACTTTGCATGAGAGCTCTCTCGTTACTTTTTTCGATATTTTCCTCGGCTCGAAGTTAAGTTGCTTAAGTATTCTTTTATTATAAACATCACAAATGTTGGCCGCGTGCCGGAGTCACACACATGAACATGTGGTCTCGTCACAGTTGCCGCGAGATATGGTGGCATCACAATTCATTAACGCACTTCCAACTCGTCGAATAACGCACATACGCACATGCACACAATTTTAATTTTTTTTTTTTTTTGACATTGTCTCATTCTGTTTTCCCTCAGCTATTAATTTTGGAACCCGCGGTTAGCAAAAATTGTTTTAGTCTATCTCCCCCATCCTCGGTAAAAATCAGTAATTGAAATGGCGATTGTTGGATTCAGCGGGCAGACGGGGTACTTGAAATGACAAGGAACTTGAATTCGTGCTCAAATGCAATTAGGTATATTTCATTATATTAATGGACTTGAACTACCATTCTTATGATGCAATTCAATCAAATTCAGTAATGAAAGTGTTGTTTGGGACGTGAATGAGGTTATCGGATGGATTTAATGGATCAAGTGATTGTCAGTTAGAGACGGAAATAAACACCATATCCCAAATCATTGCGTTCGACGATAAAAAAAAAACTAGAACGTATCATCAGAGTAATAAAACAAATCAATCTTTCGATCCATATAAATACCAAATCCCCAAAAACATCTCCGAGATCATAACGAGGACAGAGAAAATGAAATATGACGATAACGACTCACTAAACGAGAATATAAAGAAAAGATGAGCGCAAACAGCCACTCTAGCCAGTTCTCTCCCCAAATGTTATTTGTCACCAAAACGGGGAAAACTAAAGTTCTCTCCACTCTACAATTATTCTAGTTGAGCCAATACACGCTAATTGTGTTTGAACTCGACCAAGGAATGACAAGACACGACGCGTCGAAAAACGCAGACACGATCGAAAGACTGGCTCAAGTGTCATAATGCTCTTCTATTTCGCTCTGTAATTGGCTGTCTGATACTACCGTTGTAAATAACAATGAAACCATCCAACGTGACGTATCAATCGAATCAATCTTTCGATCATCGACGCCTCGACGCGACAATGATTAAACGGAGAAAGGGAGGCGTGGAAGATGAGGGAATAAAGGAGAAAGACTTGATGGTGAGGAGAGGGAGGGGAGGGGAGGGGAGGGAGGGAGATCTATCTATCGACTACTTTCCTTCCTCATACGCAGTCGGGTTTACACTATAGATACAATTTATGTACAAACTGCACCGCTACTTACGGCGCTCAGACTATACGTATTTGCTAGACAATTGTTTCGCTAGCTCCGTATACTTGAGAAACTTTGAGTGTGGGCTCTCCTCGAGAGAAGATGCTGAGGGTTGTGAAGGGCTGCCATTTACCTGCTGTACAGGTGGTGATTTGTTGTGCTGTGAGCTAGGTGATGCTCCACTGTGACTCGCACCCGATGACGATTGGGTTGCAGCGACTGCTGCGGCTGCTGCAGCAGCAGCAGCTGCCGCTGCTGCAGCCGATCTACCGATTGTCAGAGGATCTGGAATGACACCGTCTTTCACGAAATGCATCTTGGATAGGTGATGCCTGTAGGCGCCCTTCGAGATGAAAGGTGTATCGCAGAATGCGCACTTCATGATTGAGTCAGCGGTTACTACGGCATCGTTACACGCCCAACTGAAAGCTAGAATGGCACCTGGTGTTGGGCCACCACTTTGCCCAGAACCCCCAGTACTTTCTCTACCACTTGTGGAAATACTTTGACCACTGCTCCCTGCCGATCTTGAGCTGCCAGAACCACTGGGAACTCGGGTTTCAGTCTTGTCGCAGAGTTTTTGCAAGGCTGCCAGGGGATGACTGCTTGTCTTGCGACTCTGAGAGTCGGAGGTGGCGTTGGCACCTGTGCCACCTCCTGAGAGGCTGTCGAACATCGATGATAGGGCACCCAGGCTGCTCGATGCTTTGGTGTCTGGGGTACCTCGAGGAGTTACAGATCGATCACTACTTGCTGGACTACTCATGCTATTTCTGCAGGGACTTCTTGATGGTGGGGCAGGAGGTTGATCGTGCTGACTCGGAGGTCTCGGTGTTGAGGGATTCACCTGAGGTGATGCCGCCTCTCTTGTCTCATCAGTTCCCTCATGAATCCGGGGATGACAATTGTAAGAGGGCGACGTTGCTTCATCTTCCCTGGTATCGTCCACCAGTTCCTTCTTGACGACAACGTCCCGTGGAGCCTGGGAGGGATCATCCTCGTTGGTTATTGACTGATCGCCATCGTCATCGTGTGGTTCCTTTTTCACAATCACTGACTCCTCGTCACCGGATTCTTCGGGCAACGAGTGACGACTTGGTGTTGCACTCTGTTTGTCCGGCGTTGCGCGTTGACGATGCGAGGAAGTCGACAGTCTGTCATGGCTCATCGAAAGATCGATACGTCTCTCCGGTGTCATCGTATCTGTTCGATTACTTCCCCTTTCCGATATCGAGCTTGATTCACTACCACTTCGCTCCCGTCTCGTAGCATTCGCAGAGTTGTAATGTTGCTGTTGCTGTTGATAGCTCCTCAGTAGATTCATCGTTTGGGGATCAACAAGGGGCTTTGTGTAATCCACACTCTCGTCAATGCCCAAACGCTTGAGAATACTCGAGCCGATTGGTGCGCCGGGCTGAGCATGATGCAGTCCTGGGGTACCATGTCTCACTCGTGAATCGAAACTCTTCTCTATCAACTTTTCAATTGCATTAAGGACAGACGGTGAAGAAGTGGTGTTGGTCGTTTCATTGGCACTAGCGGTTGGCGCTTCTTTACCCGGTGTTGTGGCGTCACTCGCCGAAGATGGTGATCTGTGATGCCTCGAGGATATCGATGATGTCTCTTCACTAACGCTCTTTCGACCGCTCTCTGTAAGTACTTGGCTCATGTGATTTGACATCAACGCATTCTTCAGAAAATTTCGTTGATTCACTCCAACCGCCCCTGAGCCTATACACTGGCGTATATGCTCAACAAAAACAGTCGTCTCGATTTTATCACCACATTTTTCACATGTGATTCTACCAGCATGCTTGCCAAGACTGTGAGCAAGTCCTGCTGCAGAATCACCATTTTTGAACTCATTTTGCGCGCGCTCTAGCTCCAAGAGTTTTCGAACTGGCAGAGACTTCTTCCTCTTCTCCCGAGTTTGTCTCCGACGCCCACCACTCTCAGTTATCGAGCGCATAATGTGCTCCTTGTAGTGAGAGTTCTTCACCATGTGATTACTCAGTTCCTTCAACGAACTAAAAGCTTGATCACAAACTTTGCAGGTTAGAACAGCACTGACGTGACTACTGGTGGCGCCACCAGGTGGACCACCTGTATTTCCACCGTGTTGTCCAGCTCCAGCCCCGGGTGGTAATCCAGGACCGCCTGTGGCACCGCCCGTAGAACCAATTCCCGCCGAGCCACCGCCACTTCCGCCCTTGCTATCATCCGACGACTTCCAGGAGATTATTTGCTCCTGGGATATGATGTTGGTATAATGCTGAGTCTGTTGCATGTGCGAAGTCATCTCAGCAAGCGATCGGAAGCTCTGACCACACCACATGCACTTGAGGATCTGCCTCGTTTGTTCAGCTCCTTTGCCCAACCACACGTCTTGCCCACGAACTAGTTTCCGTGGCAAAGGCATTGTCTCCTTGATGAGAAGATTCAGTTCTGAAGGGCTTTGTTTACTGCTCGGCGTCGGATTACCTCCTGAGCCCTGGGACTGAGGTGGTTGATGAGAGGGCTGTTGTTGCTGTGGTATAGACGATATCGAAGGCGGCTGTAGCCCCGAAGCCGGCATATTGACGGGCATATTGACACCGCAGTGTTTCGCCTCCTTCATGTGGGTTGTCATCGCAGCCAGCGTTGGGAAACTTTGTTTACACCAAACGCATTTAAGTACATCCTTGGCCTGATCGGCACCTTTGTTGAGCCAGTGCGATTGCCATGCGCTGTGTCGGCTACCCGACGCTCCACTGGGATTATTGCCGCCGGAATTACCACTGGAACCACCGGACGATGACCTGTAGAGCTCATCACCACCGAGTTTACTGAGTTCGCTCATCTTTTCTAGTGCTTTGGTCGCTTCACTGGGCTGATACGACTTGTCCATCGCTGGTGGTTTCATCTTTCCATTCCATAATTGATGAGGATCTACACCGGGGGTGCTCTTCGGTGATAATTGTTGTTGACTAGTAGCTGCAGCAACAGCTGCGGCAAAGTACGGAAGGTGTGAAGCGACAACTGGAGAACTCCAAGGGGATACTACGGGTGGCCGTCCAAAAGCATTAGCTGGTGAATCTTGATGAGGTGGTGCTATTGAACCAAGTCTGGAGGATTTTCTCGGCGGTGGGGGAGGCGACTCATCTTCACGAGAGGGTCGCTTTCTACTTGATACCGACAGATCCAGCGGTCCGTTATTCGTTTCGTTCGAGGATGATGGGGTTGACGGTTTGCTGAGATTCAGAATTTGCTCGTCGTCATCCTCATCGGCGGATGAGACCTTCCGCGTACTGAAATCCAGGACCACTGGCAGGGGTGTTGCCGAGGGTGACACCTCGCCAGTACTCGCGGGTGACACAAGAATCCCTGGGGTCGCTGCAGGTGGCGAGCACGATGATGACACCAAGGGTGATACTGATCCTCGGGCTGAGAGTGGTGAGTGCCCCAGGAGGAACCTCTGGTGTGTTTGTTGAATGTAGGCTGCCATTACCGCAGCGGAGTGAGAGGGCAGCAAAGGATGACTACCAAGAGGTACAGGCACAATGCTGCTTGGACTAATTGGACTCGTGCTGCTGCGAGTTGCCTGAGGTGGGGGACTTCCGGCTGCTGGACCGGACGATTCCCGTGAATCCCGTGAAGGACAACGAGGACTCATTGGCTCCCTGTGAACAGCGTCAACAACACAATACGGTTAGCAATATTTTTTATCTTCAATGCAATCAATTTGTGGGGATGAAACTCATTGTGAATTAAATCCCCGAAATTTCTAAAACAATAATTGCCCTAATCGACCATTGCGCGATTGATTTTTTTCGATTGAATTGATATTCTCAGATGTACGAATAATATAATAATTGTCAATAGTCAAATAAATGACTATGTAATTAATAAAAAAAACCAAGGAAATAAAAGAAGGGGAAAAATAACAGGTACCTGTTAAGTCGACGAAAAGCGCAGTTGCCGCGATACGAATGGTAACACGTGAATATAGTTTGACGAAGCTGCACGCAGGTTCTAAACCTGTGAACGGCTCGCTCGTAACTGACTCCACTGACTGAATACGGAATGCGTGCAGTGAGATGAAAGGGGACCACCGGTACGCATGCAGGGGAAGTTTTTGGGGCTGAGGTGGAACGTAGTAGGGAAGCGGAACGTGTACTAGGATACTCAAACGAGGGTGGTGTGGGTAGTACGGTGGGGGAACGATGAAAGCGAGAGAGAGATATGAGAGTGAGAGAGAGAAAGAGAGAGAGGGATAGCCTGCCGACAGAGCGGGATTACGGGGAGAGTAGAATGAACACGCGCCTATCTCTATTAGCCGAATGACGCCGCGACAACCGCCTATGTGATATCGAGCTCGTTTATCCCCGTTTACACGACGAAAACTCACCGACGATTTGTTAGCGATCAAACAAAATTTGAGGACGAGTTAGACGCCCCGGGAAAGACATATACATCTTCAAAGCAACACCGGCGGCTTTAATTTACAACTGTTTCTGCTTTTATTTACCACCGTTATTTGAACACTGATACAACAGCTTAAGCTGGTTGAGAGAAAAAAAAAAGTGCAGAGGTGACAGAGGAGAAAAAATCAGGTGCTGATGTATGAACAATACCTGTCAGGTGGTCCTGTGTCTCGGAGGGCAGTGGGGTTTAACCTCATCGAGGCTGATGGCGGTGGTGTCGTCGGACTCTGTTCAGACTCTTCGTCATCAGTGCCATCGGCTTCGTCATCCTCCTTGGCCACTGGTGGACAACCCCTTTCACTTGGACTACTTGGCCCATCCTCATCTACACAGTCACCCTCCTCAGCCTGGAGCTCGGTCCCAGGGCCTGCACCTTCCACGCCGTCCTCCCCTGAAAGCACAATTAAACCATCCAGTCATCAATGAAATGAACTCTCCTGTATTCAAGATAATTGATAAAGCCTTTTTTGGCCGGTTTAAAATAAAAATCTCCGATGTTGGTGAGAATTGTCTCGGCAGCTAGCCTGAAAGACCGAAGGAAATTCAAACGATCGACGTAGGGCAACAGAAGGGTACGCATTTAGTGCATTCCCTCCACCCAACCCACCCCAGAATTGATATAAAGGTACTGATGGTGAGTGTAACAATGACGCTATCGCTTCATTTATCAGCCTTTCGAGGCACTGTCGACGTGATCTCCGCTGCCGGCCGACATCTCTAACCAGGTGGTTCGAGTCTACAGGGATGCATCAACTACCATAACCTGGGATGCCAGTAGCCTCCATTGTTGGGCATGGAGCTCTTCCGTCACGAAGGCATTATGAATTTTAATCAAATCGTTCTCCATTTCAAACCTTTCTCCATTCACAATTCTCCCTGGTCTACTTGTTGTCAAACATCTCGATGAAGACATCCGACATGCCGATGGTTTTTTTTTTCAACCTAACCTCATTTCATTCGACTCTTACTCTCCAACAGGTGCTTAATGTAAATAAGTACATGGTCGTTTATCGATAGGATAGGATAGTACATAGCAGCAAAGGATAGACAGGAGTTTGGTGAAGCATCAGGAGGAACAAGAAGAAAGACAAAGGAGCATAGCAAAACGAACTCAAGCCGGACACACCATCGACGTGATGAGCAAACCCCTTTTACCAATGGTACGCATAACCAAAAAATCCGCCATCTTGAATTGGAATATGTCCTTAACGTGGAGAATGAAGAAGGGAGTGTCGTTATTGCGCGGGTAACCTCCTAGCAGTGGTAAGCACCGGTGGACCCTACGAGAGAGGGAGGATGGTAGCAAATGCAAGTTGCAGTGAATGTATGTAAGGTCGGTGGATACCAGGGTGGGGACGGCCACAACGTATCCAGCCGTCCTCCTACCATGCCAACTGGCCAACCAAATGATCGTTTGTTCACGGGGTTCACCTTCGAAAGAAGGGGAATAGGAAAAGGAGATCGCACATTGATCCGTCGGAGCATCGGCAACTAATTACGCAGATTTATGTCCCCATTGTCCATTGTCTCCTGGAGACCAAGAGAGGTAAACCCAAGTGGATGAATGTGTGCGTTGGGGTATACCTTGGGCGATGCTTTCCTCTCGCTTAGTGAATGCAGGAGGGAAAGAATACGGTGAAGAAGGAAAAATAAGGGAAGGACAACGGACGATGTGCAGGACAAACCGAGGGATTGGCAAGGCCTGCAACAACGTAACAGAGGGGAAGCAGTAGAACTCGTGAAACCAGGGCGGACCACCAGCGGACAGCCCCGCCCGCTCCTGCTATCGTCTCCTCGACTCCTCTGTCCTTCTCCATCGTCATCGGTTTTTTTTATTTTTTATCCTCTACCTCCTTGTCCTTTTTTGACTGCAGAGGGCTTTCAGAAAGCGCGATGCCAAGGCACGGCGTTCGACACTCTCGAGTGACTGGCCTAGCGCACTCTCCCCCAAATCACTGGGTTGACGTCCACTGATTTAGGGCCAAACCCTACACTGTGTGAAAGATATCGGTGAACTTGTCTCTTTTCTTTGGGGTTTTGTTTTTACCGAGAAATGTCAGTTTCAATGCTGCCAGTTGGAGAAAGGGAATAGAAGTAAATTAACCTTGGATAATGGATCGATGGACGATACGTTTCAAGCGAAACTACTGTTTCCATCAACTCGTATCAGTCAATGTGTCTCGTGAAGGTGAAAATTAAGCGGAAGTAACCCAGATGTTTGGCACAACTTTCGATGATCAAATACGGTGAAGTATGGCTTCACTCACTCCATATGATCTTAATACAGATAAAAATGGGAAGCTGATGGGAAAAATAATGATATTCGCCTAGATTGACTGGACTACATAGGCATTTCATCATGATTTAGCACAAGCAGCCAAGGTCAACGAGAATTGTCACTGCTCTGGAGCATTGGAAAGTGGTTGAGAATGGGAGGGTATGGTGTACCTGGATATGGGATGCAAAATACTCGCACGACCAGAGGGTACTTCTCCTCTCGTTCTCCTATTGGCAGGCCGCTAACAAGGCGCGCATGGCGCTCGCTTTCACGGGTAGAAAAGGTATACAGCCCGATGAACAAGGAGCCCGTGGTGTATCCGACTGGAGGACCTGACACTCGAGAAGATCGCTGCTGCACGATATCCCCCTTGCTTCTGTCCTCGGGCTCACTCAGGAGTCCCTGCTTTAGTCCCAACGTAGAAGAACCCATACATTATTAGCTACGGATAACGTGGACTTAAACTTTGTTGCTGTTCTACCTTTTATATTGCTTTTTTATGAATGTATTTGTGCTGTTGTTTTTTTTTCGGACATTACTGGATGTTTCGTATATGTTTTCGAGTCCAAGCACCAGGCGCTGGTTGGGAGGGGGTCAGGTATACAACAAAAATTAGTCTTATCGATAAACGCTAGGCTGTTTGTATATATGTGTGTAATGATTCTGAATGTTCACGACAAACATGCGCGCACGATTCGCGCTCCTGAGTGGATATATGAAGATAAGTGATATCCCTTTACGAGGGTACATGGTTTATTTGTTGTGCTTCGGTGGACGTCTGGTTCAAAAGGGTGAATTTTTTCACCTCGTGGGCAGAAAGTTTTTGTAGTTTTCTGGGTGAAGTTTCAAGGAGAATGCGGTATGAGAATAATTTATTTGGAATGAGTAAATAATTTATTATTCAGTTGAAAATATAGATTCAATTGTATAAGAAATTGAATAAAAAATGCATAAGATCGGAATATTATTTGAAAATTGAGCGAATTATTAATTTCATTTATTCAGAATGCCATGAAGAACGAAATGCTTTCGCCGCGGGTGAGAATACCTTCCACCAAGTTGATTGAAAAAATAATGGGAATCAGAGTGAGTCTGAGATAACTGTAGATTAATATTTTTCATCGTAAAAGCAAGTAAATCCGTAATGTCTGAATCTTTCTCCCAGATATGTGCCAGAGTGGAAGGGCAAAAAGAATGAGATGAAATTCTGATGCAACGATTGTTGAAGGGGGTTACGGCGAAGTTTCTTGGACGTAGAGAAGGAGTATGACGGACAGGTTGGATGATGGTTTATATAGTGGAAAGAAGAAGAGATATGAAGGAGATGGACAGGCGGACCGTCAGACAGACAGGCCAACACACAGACATACTGCCGAGCAGAAGGACGAGAAAGACGGGAAGGCTTTTGCATTGTGATTCTCCCGTGGCCCGACGTCAAATGACTGACGGGTGAATCCGTTCGCCTACATATACGCATTCGTCTCCCTTCGGCCGACTGGAAACACGGAATATCTCGCGAAGGTTAAACACATTTACGATGTGTTCGATGGATGGTATACCCCTGTCGGTTTGTGTTTGAGTCATTTGAGATGGGATTGGAGGTCTCGTTATTGTTTGAACATTTTCTATTTGCACCCAGGTGAATGTGGTCTTCATTCGTAATTTTTTTTTTTCTTTGGCGAGGGGGGAGGGACAAGAGCAAAGTTTGGTGAGTGCATTTGTCAGAATCATTTTGTGGAGGAGTTTGAAGAAAAGACTGAGTACTAAAGGTAACATCTATACTCCCCGACTTCTCTTGCCTACCTGACTGATTGACCGATGGCCCGGCCGTTATCCCAAGTCAACACTCACTCCATCAAGCCTCGGCGAGTATCTTTTCTCTTTTATTTCTCGATTCGTCAGACATTCCCTTCAACAAGCTTTAACTATAATGCATCTACATTAGGTGTATATGGAGGATGAGGTGAAATTCAATTTGACGTATTCAAATTTATCATTGGTTATAACATACTTCTTTAGAAACATGCAGAATCTGCATCTGGAGAATGGCAAATTATGGGGGGAAGGTGGAGGAGGGAATTCACATCAAAGAGACACGATTCAACGATTGACTTTTCTCCCCGCATATACAAATGCAGACGCACTCCCTTGGACAAGATTCTCAATCGCGGACTGATCGACACGGGCTTTAAAGCCTCCAATCCGGCTGGGCCGATTGCTTTTCTTTCAACGAAAAGTCGCTGTGTGAAACAGGATTTCAAAGTGTCTCAATAGGATTTGTCGATTCGTCGCAAAAACAATCGGTGAAAATCTGCCTTCATCGAATTTTTTCTCCTCAAAAAAAAAAAAAGTAAAAATAAAGGAGAAAGTGGATGTGACAGTCCTGTATATCACGTAAAAATCAAAAAGTGTCATTTTTCGTAGTCGTAAATAACCGATGATGGATTGCCATCGCGCCATAAATCATAACAAGGACCATTTATTTCTAAATTGACCAGCGCTTTATTATTGGCCCCGATGTATAACGCACTCAGCGGGTACATTCTGGCGAAAAATGCTGGTTGCACATAGTGAAATGACGCAGCTGGCTTCGGTAAAGAATGAAAGACGCCGAGAGATCGGACTATAAGTTGAGGGTGGGAGGAGGGGGAGGATGACGAAGCGGCAGACGGACAGGAGTGACGGTGAGTGATGGACAGGAACTGAGTCGAGGTATTAGAGAGACAAAGAGCAATGGGGGAAAAAAGAGCAGGAAAGTGCAGTGTCAAGTATCCAATATCTTTTGAGTACAGAAGAGAGAGGCGAAAATTCGATTCCACAGCTTTATCCTGTCTCCAATGATTTCCATTTACTCTTCCGTTTGATAAAAATATTCACACGTTTTTGTGATAAAGGAGGAGAAAAAGAGGAAACGATAAAGAAAAAAAAAATAGATTGATGAAAGAGTCTCCACAGAAGTCGCGCATAACGATTAATCGTTCACCTTCGCATCACTGTTTACTGATCCAAAGCGACTCGAGACGTATTAAATACCGCGTGTACAAGGCCTGACCAATAATAAACGTGCAAAAGAGAAGCAAATCCGGTGACGGGATGATGGATGAAGTCCAACG